ATTCAATCTTCTTCGCCAACTCCGTAATTCAAAGGAATCAATTCTTCTTTGATCTTCCTTATTCAATGTCCAGCTTTCCCATGCATGTTAGACGAATGAAAAGACCACGGCTTGGATAAGGGGCACCTTAGTCCTCAAAGTGACATCTTTGCTTTTTAACACTTTAAAGAGGTCTTTTGCAGCTGATATGCCCCGTGCAATACTGCTGCTTCCGTGGGTGTTGATTGTGGATCCAAGTAAAATGAAATCCTTGACAACTTCAGTCGTTTCTCTGTTTATCGTGATGTTGCTTATTGGTCCAGCTGCGAGGATTTTTGTTTTATGTTGAGGTGCAATCCATACTGAAGGCTATGGTCTTTGATCTCCATCAGTAAGTGCATCAAGTCCTCTTCACTTCTAGCAAGGTTGTGTCATATGCATATCACAGGTTATTAATGTCTTCCTCCAGTCCTGATGCTGCATTCTTCTTCATATAGTCCAGCTTCTTGGATAATTTGCTCAGGATACAGATTGGATAAGTATGGTGAAAGGATACAACCCTGATGCACAGCTTTCCTGATTTTAAACCACGCAGTATCTCCGTGTTCTGTTCCAATGACTGCCTCTTGGTCTATGTATAGGTTCTGCATGAGCACAATTAAATGTTCTGGAATTCCCATTCGTAATGTTATCCATAATTTGTTATGATACACACAGTCAAATGCCTTTGAATAGCCAATAAAACACAGGCAAACATCTTTCTGGCATAACGTATAGGAAAATGGAAAAAAAAAAAAAGTAAAACTAATGTTTATTTAACCAGTTGCTACCAAGTCGATTCCTACTCATAGTGACCCCAGGTGTGTCAGAGTAGAACTATGCTCCATAGGGTTTTCAATGGCTGATTTTTTTGGAAGTAGATCTCCAAGCTTTTCTTCCAAGGTGCCACTGGGTAGACTAGAACCTCCAACCTTTCGGTTAGCATCTGAGTGAGTTAACCATTTGCTCTGCCCAGGGACTCAGCACCCAGTCATTTCTCCAGAGCCATTCTTCAAGTCCCATCTCCTTCATGCAGGCTGCTCAGACCATTTCACAGAGAAGAATATTTTTAATATTAAGTTTTCCTCTGAACAAGTTTTTTAAAGGAAAGTTGTTGTTTCATATTGTTTTAGTACATTTAAATGCTGGTTCTCAAAACTTGAAATTAAATATAATCTGTACAGTCTTGTCCCAGAGCTACTGTTATAAATCCACAAACTCAAAGCTTAACTCTATAGGAAAAGACAACAGACATCAATTTAAGATAAATCGCAGCTGAATATATATGGGATCACACTTTATATCTTTACAAATACCAAGTGAATTCACTGATATTTGTGATACTATAAGAAAGGCACAGTATTAAGGATTTGCCAATCATTGTAACATTTTGCCAAAAACCACTCGTATGTCTCCACACTAGGGTTCATTATTAAGTGTTTATTCAAAAAAAAAAAATTCCAGTTTGGATTTGTTCCCCTGGACTTGATCTATGATGATCTTCTGAGACGTTTTGAACATGAAGGCAATAAAAGACGTTATTGCTCTCAGTAACTGTCCATTATAAGTCAGTATTACTCTTAAGGATACACTGCGTAACACAACTTAACGAGGCATCTGTAATAGTTACCTGAAATTTCATGAAGTAACAATAATATTCCAAAAATGAAAAGTCACCAGCTGCTCCTTGAAAAGAAACCCTACGGGGTAGTTCTACTCTGTCCTACAGGGTCGCTATGAGTTGGAATTGACTTGATGGCAATGGGTTTGGTTTTTTGTTTTTAGGTTTCAAAGCAAATTCGTTTCCCATTCAATAGTTTATACACCAATTGTTCCATGACATTGGTTGCAATTCCTGCAATGTATCAGCACTCTTCCCCATTACCATCCTGCGTTCCCCATTTCCATTCGCCTGGTTTTCTTGACTCTTCCTGCCTTTTCATCTTTGTTTTTGGGCAATTGTTGTTCTTTTGGTCTCATGTAGATGATTGGTCTAAGGAACGCTTCCCTCATGTATGTTATTGTTTATTTATAGCCCTGTCTATTACTAGGCTGAAAGGCGATCTCAGGAATGGCTTCAGTTCCACACTGGAAGGGTATCTAAGGGATATAGTCTTGGGGGTTCCTCCAGTCTCTCTCAGACCAGTAAGTCTAGCCTTTTTTTTTATGAATTTGAATTTTGTTCTACATTTTTTCCCCACTCTAATCAGGACCCCCAAATAAAACTTTTTATGTGCGTTTATTACGGTTCCATGGGAATGCCTAATAATGATGTATCTACTGATAAACTGGGATAAGCAAAGGGCATAAGCAGATAATTTACAGGTGAGAACACAAAATCTTTGGAAAAAATTTTAATACCACTAATAATGATGCGATGCCATTGTTCATTTATCCACACAGTAAAGATTTTCATCATAGTTTGTGCTTAAAGCAATGAAAGACGAGTAACTTGGAGAACTGAGACCATCTCTGTTACTTGGAAGGTGAAGAGATGTGGGCTGGACAGTCTGCTTTTTCCCTCTGGATCCAGTCTCTACTCTTTTCCGCCCTGCCCTGTGCCTGGGACACTGACCTTAACACAGTGTATCAATGGGCCTCCCTGGCCCTCTGGCTTCCAGACTGCTTCAACCAATGGAAGGCACCTACAGTAGATCAGAGGCTACACAGAATTACCCTTTTCTACAGCTACGGTGTCCCTGGGTGGTGCAAATAGTTAAGTGCTGGGCTACTAATCAAAAGGCTGACAGTTTGAACCCACCTAGAGGCACCTCAGAAAAAAGGCCCGGCGATCTATTTCCAAAAGGACACAGATACGAAAATCCTATGGAGCACAGTTCTGCTCTGCAACACATGGGGTACCGTGAGTCTGAATCGACTTGTTGGCAACTGGTTGGTTGGTGGCTTCTACAGCTATAAATTTCGCCAGTTTCAGGTAACTGCTCCTTCCCCTTGCCCTCCCCAGTCAAGGGGTGTAGTGGCCTCCTGATGTTGTTAGCCCTGGTTTCTCTCGCTGATTTCCTTTGTATTGGCCACACCTTAAAAATTATCCCTTCATTAAATCATTTCCATCCAATCCTTTTGAGTGTGCCACCCACTTACTGCCAGAACCCTGAAATATACAGTATATGTCCAAGTCCATTAGGACTAACCAAGTGGGGATATTTTTCATCCCAATCAATTCCTCCTATTTTCCTCCTCTAGCAAAATGTCTTTAATTTTTGCTTCCCCAGCATCCATTCACCGTTCTCCTGGCACAGCATCCTAATTTTCCATTAGAGAAGCACCCTCCTCCTCATTTCACAGGGCATACTCCTTGGGTGAGGCTAATCTCAGCCCCAAGGGCCGGACATATAATCCATGTCAGTCTGATTAAACTTAATCTCAGGACTTCTGTTGGAACTACTGGGGCAAAGAAGCATCTAGTCACTGAGACAGCCAAAGGAAAAAAAAAAACCTCATGCTTGGAACTGTCAGGCCAAGGAGACAGGGCTTGGTGGAGAATAAAACTAGTGAAGTGGACAGGGAAGCAAAGGGATGAAGAGTAAGGCCTACTAATGTTATTTGAATTCCTGAATCCAGCCATGCCTGAAATTTACCCTTGGGCATTTTAGTTATCTGAAATGGTCCATTCCCCTTTTTGTTCAAGCTAAGTTGAGTTTAGCTTTCTGTCACTTGCAGCTGAAAGATTCCTAATAGACCTCCTCCTAATAAAAACACCTACATTTGCAGGGAGTAAAAAGTGGAGTGTTAGAGACTAACTTTTAAAATTGTATCAGTCATCTAGATTTAGTGTTGTTTTCAAGAACCCAAACACAGAAGGCCAAGAGAGGCAAGCTGTGGCTTGTTTTTATTATGACTTTGGTGCTACTACCACCTGCGCTGTCCCTTTAGTCCTTTGAAATCTGTGAGAGATGGGACAATACCAAGCCAAACTACCCATTTTGTGTTGAACTTTGTGGCTGAGACCCATGCCTGCACTGGTGCAAACAAAGAACAATGGTGGAAAACAGCTGAATTCAAGAATTTTCAAGTACCGTTTGTCTGGGCCTTCTCAGATGACAAGGTTCACTGGCAGGAAAGCTATTATGGCGACAATCATCATTCCCATTTACCACCTATTAGAATGCAAGTCACTGAGAGGTCAGACTGTCCCAAAAGCCCAGTGTTGCTGAGCACTCAAGGTCAAGTTCAAGGAACAGCAATCAAGTGTGAGGACAACAGCAAAGGCTCAATCCTCTGAAATGAAGAGAAGGGTTAACTCCCAGGAGATGGCTACCAAGTGAGTTTTACTATCTTCAACGTATCACATATCTTGGGAAAAGAAATCGGAGTGATGGTGTTAATACGACTCACAGCAGCTGTCCTCCCTGAGAACAGCAAGTAAGTCCTTCTTCATCTTCACACACTCCTATCTACTCCTGCCTAGCACTGTGCCTCACACAAAGTAGGTGCTCATAAATGATGACTTTTGGGGTCTGCTGCTTAAGAATATAGTTAATATATGAAAATGTAGTAGATGCGCAAGAAGTCCTCGCTGTTATTTCTATTATTATAATTCAATCATCCCTAAAGTATCCATGTTCATCAAAACCCACACAAATCCTCTCTTTAAGGAATGATTTCAATCTCCTTGCTTCCCAAGGCAATAGCTCTGTTGTGAGTTTGTTATTTTTCTTGCCCTTCATGTGAGAATCAAACTCTTCGTCCACTGACTCACACATTCATCCATTCAACAAATAATTAGTGAGCACCTGCACTGTACAACATCTTTGGCTGTATGTGGGGAGTCAAAGCGGATGAAGACAAACCCCTTGTATAATGCAAAGGCATGTGGCCTGTTGGAAGATGGAACAGAACTTCAAATAGACTGAATGAGAGAATCAGCCTATGGAATGAGGCAGATGACTTCAGTGGTTGCAACAAGCGCTGGGAGATCCCTGGGGAAAAATGACTATTACAGAGGGAGGTATTCTCCTTACCTTTTCTGCAAGCCAGCCAAAATGCCTGATCTCTCGGCTCCCAGCAATGCCTGTTTTCCCCAGTTGCTCTCTGACCTCAGCAATCACTCGGGTCAGCAGGTCACTGACGTTGGAATGGATGGCACTGAACCAGGCCTGGGCGGTGGCTGAGTCCTTGCTTCTTAGGATCACCGTATGCTTAGCATCTGGAGAGTGGATTTCAAGTTGCCTGTGGAAGTGAAGAGAGAAGGGTTAGAAAGTTCCCTGGCACATCACATGTTGTCCAGACTGGGGCCACAAAGATAAACTAATTCTTTATTCTTTCTTTTAAACTTCGCCAGTTTCACATGGTTTAGCTTAACAGTCCCATCATTCATTCATTCATTCATTCACACATATTTATTGAGTGCCCCTGAGGTACCCAGACTTTGGTCTAGGCACTGGAGATAGAGCTGTGAATAAGACAGAAAAGCACCTATTCTCATGGACCACATAGTCTAGAGAGAAAAGGAAAATAAGCAAGGGAATAAACAAATATTGATATAATTTAAGAGAGTTACAATTCTATGAAGAAAAATGAAGCAAGCAAGGGACTGAGGGGAAGGTGGACGGATGGGAGGGACTGGCATAGTCAGGAAGACCTCACTGAGGAAGTAACCTTTAAGCAGAGAATAGAATGACCTGAAGGATTGAGCCATGCAAGATCTGGGAGGGCATCACAGGCAGAGAGAACAGTGCATGTAAAAAGCCTTGTTGTTGCTGCTGCTGTTGTTAGGTGCCCTCGGATCGATTTTGACTTATAGTGACCCCGTGTAACAGAGCAGAACTGCTCCATTGGGTTTTCTACGTTGTGATCGTTACAGAAGCAGATTGCCAAGTCTTTCTCCTGCAGAGCCGCTGGGTGAGTTTGAACTGGCTGGCCTTTTGGTTAGCAGCGGAGCACTCAACCATCGCACTGCCAGGGCTACATGGAAAAATTTTAAGGCAGGGGAAAGCTTGGCAGGTCTGATGATAAGCCAGACAACCCATGTGACTGGAGCATGATTCCAAGGGGAAAAGTGGTACAGGACAAAGATGAAGAGATGGCCGGGGCCAGGCCAAGAAGGGCTTGAAGGTCATGGTGAAGGGTTTGTGTTTTATTGTGATAAATGGTTGTGCGTAACCACTGGAGGATTTTGGCTGTGATGTGATCTAATTTGTGTTTCCACCACATGGAAAATAGAGTGTAGGGGTGATTTAGGAGATAATATTAGAGCTATTATTCCCTGTCCTAAAATGTGACCCAGCTGGAGCTGGACTCACAGGGGCTCACAAGGACACATCAACTGGGCCCTGAGGTATAAAGACAATAGCTAGAATAATCTTGGGAAACATCTTTTAGGGGAACTTTCACATAAACAAATTATAAAATACAGCACAAAAGGCCCACGTACTTTCCACTCTTATCTTTTTTATTAGCATTTAGTGAACAGTAAGATTTGCTGGATCAATGAAGACCCTCCTGACTGTCATTATTGGAACCTGTACCAATGACTGTTAAGAAAGACAACTCAAAATGTAGGATTAGGGAGATTTAGCAGTTTCTAGCCAATCTGTGAAAAGGTGAAGCTTTCAATGGTTTTGCCCATTTGTGATGTTAATATATACTGATGATTCTGTAATGTTCCTTGGACTTGGGCAGACATGGCTCTAGCAGCATGCTTGTCTGTTTCCCACGTTTGCCTCTTTGAACATATGCTAAATAAAACTTTTTTTTTACTTTACTAAACTTTGTGATCTTTTTACCCTAGAATAGGGCAAAGTGTGGAGAGTGAAGACCTGGTAAAAGGCAGTTGCAGTAAGTCCAGATGAGAGATGCTGGTGGTGTGGACTAGAGGGCTGTGGTGGCACTGGAGGAAGGTCAGCTTTGGAATGTTTTAATACAGAGATGCACTCGATGAATAAAAAAAGTCCATATAAAAAAGCAAAAAGTACAACCACCGAATCACCAGAATGAAAGATGTCTGGTTTTCCTGTTACTCAGCTGACTGGCTTATTAGTGGTATCTGATCAAGACTTCCAAACCGTAAGCTGGCACTAATTTGCCCTACCTCTCAGTCCACAGAGGATTTTAATAACATACTCACATCCTTGCTGCTGCTGGCAGGAAGTAAACTGAAATATCTAGCCACATGCTTAATTCTACTGCTCAGTGTCAATCAATTGAGAATATTTTAGAATCAAAGAAGACCAAATATTTCCTTCTTTAGGAACCCTGTCTGTGGCCCATTTAACTACCATTTAATCCTTGGACCTGTGTCGGTAAGGAGTGAATTGGCCTAGGAAGGGGTAACGTTGGGAAGAGAGATGCGTTAAAAAAAAACCAAAAACTAACTCTGTTGCTGTCGAGTCGATTCAGACTCCTAGCAACCAGAGTGCTATATTTAAAGTTAAAAACCAAAGCTTATGCCGGAACTCAAATTGTATCACTGCAGGTACAGAGTGTGAGTCCTACATACTGTACATCATGGTAACAGGAGGAAATTCTACACAGATACTTTTTGTTTTAAACTTATTTTGATGTAATTATAGATCCACAGAGAGTAGCAAAAATGGTACACAGAGGTCATCATACCCTGTTTCTCCCAATGGTTATATTTTACGTATCTATAGTACAATACCAAAACCATGAATGTGACATAGGTACAATGATGTCACTTTGATGACGAAGGTGCTACTGACACAAGCCCTGTTCTCTTCAATCACCTCATGTGCATGCAAAAGCTGAATACGGAAGAAGGAAGAAAAGAAAATTGATGCATTTAAACTGTGGTGTTGCGAAGAATACTGAATATACCCTGGACTGCCAGAAGACCCTTCAGTATGGATTACACCTCAACATAAAGAAAACCCAAAATCCTCACAACTGGACCAACAAGCAACATCATGATAAACGGAGAAAAGACTGAAGTTGTCAAGGATTTCATTTTACTTGGATCCACAATCAAT